TAAACTTAGTTCTGCCTGACTCTGGACCCTCATACTTCAGTATGACACAAAGCAGAACTTGCTTTTCACAAGCAAGATGAACCCAAATGATACTCTCTGGGGACCAGCATCCCAACCAGTGTGCTACCAGGTGGAAGACAGGGACTAAAAATAAGTTTAAATTTAAATAAGTTAGTTTGAAGGACTTATTCATCCATTCTGAGTAAGCTTTAAACAGGTTCGTATTTTAAGTTTCTGTTAAGAAACACCTGTAAGGGGGCTGGAGAGATGGCTCAGTGGTCTAAAGCACCTACTTGGAACAAGCTTGGCAAAGCACAGGGACCGCGGTTCAATCCTCCAGCACCACATGCCAGCCAGCCAGCCGCACCCCCTGGTGGGCTGAGCTGGCCACACACACACACACACACACACACACACACACAAATAAATAAATGTTAAAAAAAAAAAAAGAAACACCAGTTCCACATGCCATGTGACCCCAGAATCCTGGTGCACCATGCCACCCCGTAACAGGGCACAGTGGCACCCGGCTGTAGTTAAAGGGCTGGGGAGACTGAGACAGGAGGATCACTGCCAGTCTGACCTGCATAGTGAAACCCTGTGTTCAATACATGCATGCACATATGCATACATACAAAGCTATAAAATGATGATGCTCTAACAGTAATCTCTTCACTTACTGTAGAAATATTTGATTAAAAAAAGAAAAGAAACACCTGTAGTGCTTACTAAATGCTTACCAAGTGAAAATCATCTTTCATTTTTTATTAGTTTTGCAATGCTGGGAACCAAACCCTGAGCCTGGACCCGCTACCACTGATATACTTTCCCAGACATTAACATGCATTTGAAACACTTCTGGTGACTGATGAGAAGCCCAAGGAGCACATTCTGAAAATTGTTTTCAAAAATGGGAGCAGGGAGGCTGGAGAGATGGCTCAGTGGAGTAAGTGCTTCCCTGGCAGGCACAAGGGCCTGAGTTCAATCCCTGGTTCTGCCAAAACAATAAAATAAATAAATAAAAGGGAGCAGAAGGAGATGGGTTCCTACGCAACATAACTACAATCCACAGCAAGACATGGGCAGGGCCTACTGTCCATACTATATTTAGCTTTAGCCTCAGCCTTCACCTGCTTGGAAGCTAAAGGTAAAGAAAATTACCAGAGAGCTGGGGATGTAGCTCAGTGGTAGAGCACTGACCTAACAGGAAGGAAGCCCTGGGTCCCATCCCCAGTACCACCCAAGAGAAAATTATCAGACCAGAGATCACAGAACACAACTCTCTGGTGCCAGAAAAATTTTGCAAGTCTAGCACTCCACACTAGGCCAGGCAGAGAAGCCAGAAATACAGAAGACACTGGTTAAATCAGCCAAACAGGAATAAGCGTCAGCAAACTAAGCAGAAAGGCACAAGCGCAGCTGCTGAGGAGTGTGGTGACCCCATCCAACTGCCCCAAGCAGAGTGACCAGAGGCTCAGGCAGCTGGACACCCTGGAGCCCTATGCTCTTGAGAAGGGTTCGCTGAGGTTCCAGAGCGGGGAGTTTCCAAATCATCCATCAGCTGCAACCTGTTGAAAGCTCTAGAACTCGGAGACCCCTTAAGCACCGCGAAAGGGACGAGCTGGAGGGCAAGCCATGCTCGTGGACCACTTCAGATCACAGGCCGCACAGGGCGAGCTCCAGACCCGGCCTTGGGCGCCGCTCCTCCCGGCGCACTGCCGAGCCCAGGGACCACTCTGTAGCGCTGATTTCAACCTGGCTACTTCGGTGTCAACAAACCCGAGGGCGCCAAATCCTTCGGTTGCGTGTCATATTTGGGCACGTCACTCCAGCGACTGTGAACCCGATTCCTGACGTGCCAGGCTAGAGCCCACGGGCGGAACACGCACGGGCAGGGCCAACAGATGCGGCAGGAACCGGTCGCGAGGTCACCACCGTTCCAGCCTACCGGCGACCCCGCCGCGCCGGAGATCGCGGAAGGCAGCACAGGCCGCCGCAGGTCCAGCGCCGAGGCCGGGCCAAACGCAGCATGGCTGCGGCCTTCGGACCCAAAGCAGAGCCGAACACAGAGGCCTCTCCGCGTGTGGTTCTACCGCTGGAGGCTGAGAAGCTCGAGGCCGCCTCCGGCAACAAGGGGCGCCCACGGGGGGAGCCCTACGGAAGGAAGCAGAGTGGGACCTGGGGGCTCTGGGGGCGTCGGGGAACGACCCTAGGCTCCTCACCGCCTCCTCCGCGCCGCCATTGCCGCCGCCGCCGCAGCCATCTTGCGCCGGGTTTCCTCCCTGACCCGGGGCCTCCGCCCCGCGCACAGCAAGCCACGTACCACAAGAGCCCGCCCCTTCCGGCCGCGCGATTGGCCTGGCGCGCCCCGCCGCCTTCGGCCCCATTGGCGGAGCGCACAACGACAAGGGGCGGAGCCCGAGGCCAAGACTGGTACCCGGGTGGGGCTTCGAGGCCCGGAGCAGTGCGGCTCCGCCCGCTCTCAGCATCACACTTGGGCCTGGAACTGTCTCAACTCGGCAAATTTTATTTAGAAAATACGGCAGGAAAGGAAATCGTGACAGCGCTCATCAAGCTTGGCACCTCGCCGGCACCTCGCTAGGGCGCCTGGAAGCGGCCGGAAAAGAGACCCAGACGGTCGACGCTGCGGTGCAACACGCTATGCAGGACCGCCAGGTGCACGCCGCCCGCGCCAGTGCCCTCCCTGGAGAAGTCGCGCACGAAGCGGCCGCGCTCCGGCTGGAAAGCAAACTTCTGGGGCAGTGGCCCGTGCTCACGCAAGAAGCCCCAGACGCTGAGCAGCAACAGCCGCACTTCGAAAGGGGCCAGGCGGCTGAACACCTCGTGCATGTTCCCCAGGGCCGGCGGCAGGAGGCTGCCCTCGGCCATGACGGACACCAGCGTGCAGGATGCTTGTAGGTGCCAAGGAGAGCCGGCAGTGTCGGGGTGGCGCGACGCTTCCCAGTGGCCGAGCAGCGCGGCCAGCAGACCGCGCAGGAGTACAGAGCAGTAGCACAGCGCTGGAGGTGCAGCCGCTACCAGCTTCAGCAGCTCAAAAAGCAAGGGTTGCTCGCGGAACCGGCGGCCAATGCGGAGGTCGCGCTCCACGGTGGCTCTGGCGTGCTCCTCCGGCGGCCAGGCCAACTCGGCGCCCGCAGCATCTGGACACACGCTCTCCACCAGGGTCACTGCCACTGCCTTGGCCGCCTCTGGACTCAAGGTGGGAGCTGCCCAGCAGCCCCCACATTCCACACCTCCCGGAGCCCTGCAGCAGTGCACCAGGAGGCTGAGGAGACTCTGGGTGTTGTACACCACTTCCTGCTGTTTCCGAGCCTGGATGGACTTGGGGGGCTTCAGACCTCGGCCTATGACTCCAGCGTGGAAAACAGACCAGATCCCTCCAGGCCCAGGCACAGCAGCTGTGTGCCGCCGGTTAGTGTCCAACAGGGAGGGCAAGGCCAGAGGAGCGGAGTCAGGGGACACAGACTCACTGTATCCATCCACCTCACCTCCAAACAGTTCTGCATTACCCCGATGCAAGGCACCTTCCACCAGCAGCTGCAGGACTGCCTTGAGCCCAGCTGGGGAGATCTGAGAAAGGCGGGTGAGAAGCTGGGAAGCAGAGGCCACTCCTGGAGGCCCATGCAGCCGCAGGGAGGCAAAGAACCGGTGCACCCCAGCCCTCACCAGTCCCAGGAGCTGTGAGGGGGACAGGGCTTCCACAGGAAAGGGACAGATGGCCAGGAGGGAGGCCGCAGCTCCAGCCACTTCCTCCTCAGGGTGGAGCAGAAGAGGAGCCAGGTCCGACAGGTGGGCAGATGCAGACTCCCCAAATCGGGCTCCTAGGGCTGCAGAGCCCTCCCCACCCTGCTGTTCCCACCCCACAAGCAGGGCCAAGTTGCGAAGGAAGCGGGCTGTGAAGGGAGGTTGCAGGGTCCCTGCATGAACCCGAGCCAGGCAGCTCCGAAAGGCCAGGGGCAGGAGGCCAGAGAGACTGACCACCAGCCCTGCATAAAGCTGTGTGGCCAAACTCAACTCCTCAGGGCTTCGAGCTCGGCTCAGCAGATGGCCCAAGGCCTCTGGTCCACAGCTGGGCCGGGTATAAACAGACAGCAGGCCCAGGAGCTGATGCTGCCAGAGGAAGCGCTTTCGCTCCAGCCGTAGAGTCTCTCCACACAGCTCTCCAAGGTGATTTCTTAGTGCATCTAGGAAGGGCACTGGGCGCGGGGATGGGGGTGGGCCGAGCACCCCATCTCCAGGGGCTCCTCCCCGGTGATGGACCAGTTTTTGAAGATGAAGCAGCAGCAGCTGGATCAGCCTGTCACAGGCCTCACGGACAGTGTCCGGCACGGCCAGGCCCTGGGTGGTGATGACTGAGGCAGGCATGGCTGTGTCCACAAGAAACTGCAGCAGGTGGTATGCACCTGCCCCGGAAGCCTGGCTCACCAGGTGCACAGCCAGGTTCAGCATGTTGTCCAGCTCCTCCCGAGGGAAGCCCTGCAGATGTTGCTGCAGCTGGCTCAGCACAGCTGGGGGCTTGAGGCAGTCCACGAGTTCACCAGAGACTGTGCCCAGCAGAGCTGGTGACATGACTGCCAACTGCAGGAGGAAGGGAACTGTGGCCTGAAGGGAAGGGTCCCCACTCCGGCACCCAGCGCCCCCTGCCAGGCTATCATGGAACATTCGAAGAAGCTCCCGCCGGATACTGTCTCCATGGCGGGAGGCCAAGTGCCCCAGGATGCCCACAACTGAGGCAATCTTAGGCACCCGTTTTTCCCCAGGGATGCCAGGAGATCCGGGGAAAGGGTCAGCAGAGGGAGTCTGAGAAGAGCTTCCACTACCACCAGCTCCCCCTCCAGCCCCTCCATGGACACAGAAGTCCTTAAGGCCACAGGAAAGCACACGGGAGATGATAGTACCAGGAAAAGAGGAGCCAATATGTGCCACCACCCAGTCAAAATGTGGGGAATGCTGGACAGAGGTGTCTAGCAATGCGTCCACACATGCATCTGGGCAGCTGCCAATGAGAGCTGAGAGGCACTGCACGTAGATGTCCATGAGTGTGCGAGTTGCCCTGCAGCCCATCCACAGCTGCAGTAGCTCATTGAGCGAGCCAGTGGCATGGGGCACACGCTGATGCTGGCCTGAGTAAGTGCTGCTCAGTTGTCCCATGAGGTCAATGGACCATGCACTAATCACAGGCGCCCAGGCCTTTGGGTTGGCCCGGATAAACTCAGACAGCACCTGCTGCACTTCCTGTACCACATCCTCAAGACCAGGTGCCCCAGTGGGGACATGGGAGGGTGGAGGTGGACGGAGATGAAGTGGACCTGCCACAGGGCTTTCATCTAGGGTGGCCAAGTAGGCCCGGACACTCTCATCAAAAACACCTCTCAAGTGGTCAAGCACAGCAGCCCGAGCTGGTGGCAGACAGCGGAGCAGGAGAAGACCACAGCGAGCATGTTCCCGGGCTGAGAGCTGGTGGCCCAAGATGGGGTCTATGCCGGTCAGAAAAGCCTTGATTTCCTGGGACAGCTCCTGAGCACTATAAAGAAGCAAATGAAGCACATTTAGCAAGTTATATTTTGGGGTTTTTTTGTTTGTTTGTTTTTGTCTTTTTGAGACAAAGTCTCACTATGCAGTTCAGGCTGGCCATGAGCTCACTTTGTAGCCCAGGCTGGTCTCGAACTTTCAGTAATCCTCCTGCCTCAGTCTCCTAAGTGCATCACCATGCCTGGTTATACTTAGCAAGTTATCAATCTGTGAGTTTTGATTTCCTTTCCTACAATAGAGATAACAATTAGAAAGCACTTGAATATCACACATAGTTGCTATTAATCAAAAATAAATGCTATTTTTGTTTCAATTACAATCATAATATCAATAGTAATTCCAGGGCCAGGGAGATAACTCAGTAGAGTAAGCACTTGCCTGGCAAGTGCAAGGACCTGAGTTATATCCCTGGTTCCACAAAAAAAAAAAAAAAAAGAAAGTAACTCCAGATAAGATAACCAGGTAAGAGCCAGGGAGATGGTTCAGTGGCATAGTGCCTGCCTGGCAAACACAAGCTTCTGAGTTTCCCAATAACATAAAAACAAAAAAGAGGTGACCAAGTATTTGATTCTGGTGCCTGCACCTGCTTAGTACCCACTCTGCACTGAGCTACACATCCAGCCTGGTCTGGTAATTCTTAAGTACTTTTTATGTATTTCAGACCTGAAAACAGCTTTACAGATTAAAAAAAAAAAAAGTCTAAGAAAAACTGTATGCTCTTTTTAAAAGAATAGGAATCACTTCTGTGAGCTTCAACGCTGAAAACACTTCCATTGAGGTGCCTCACATATGGGAAGTACTTAATAAATATTTGTTAAATTACGCTGCACGTGGTTGTGCACTCCTGTAATCCCAGCACTTGGGATGCTGCAACAGGAAGATCAAAAGGTCCAGCTCAGTCTGGGTAGTGTGGTGATTCAGCCCCTGCCTAGGGAGAAAAAAAGTTTTCTTTTTAAAAAAGCTATGGGTGCAGTTCGACGAAGACTCTGGGTTCAACCCCCAGTACCACCAGGTAAATACAATTTGTGTCTACATGTTTTAAAAACACCTTCCCAGCTTTATTGCACCCTCTCCCGCATACACAACACAGGCACCTCAGGAATCTCTTCATGGAAGGAAAACTCACGAGTGGTTCGTGAAGAGCGCGCCAACACCTGCTTCCTGCGCTGCGCGCGAATCCTCACCGCTCACCACTACCCACCCAGCACCCGCGGTGTGCGGGGAGCCGGGGCGACAGGGTAACACCTCCCACCCACCCACTCCCCAGCCAAAAGGTCGGTCCCAGCGGTTCTGAAGGCAGTGTCGCAGCAAGAGGCGTCCCACTTCCTCCTTTCGCCTTTCTGTCAGGAGACCGCATCCCCGGGGAATGACAGACTCTGGTCGCAACGTTCCTCTCGGGTTCCTCAAAAGAATTTTTTAAAATACAGAGTCCGAGAGAAAGAGGCTCGCAGGGCAGTCGGGTTTCTAGGCCTGAACCCCGGGCCTCCAAGGACCGAGCGCCCCGGTCCCTCGGGTGTGGGGAGACGGCGGCTACGGGCTCGGCGCGGAGGCGCGCGGGGTCCGGACGGGGTAAGAGCCCAGTCAGGCTCGGGGTCCTCCGGGAGGGCGGGGATCGGTTTGGGCTCGGCGGGACGCGAGGCTGTGGCTACCTGAGCGGCGCGGGGCCGTGTGCGGCCGGGGCAGGCGCTGGGGACCCCGGGGCCCCGGGAGGGTCGCACAGCGCGGACATCCCGAGCCCGCCCGGAGCCCGAGGCGCGAGCGACTGGGCGTAGGCTGCGCATGTGTGGACGGGAGACGCACAGGAAACCGCGCCGTGCCTCTGCAAAGTTGGTCCGGCCACGCTCGCGACCCCGGCACCTTGGTTCCGACCCTGTCCGCCGTCCGCCCTTTCCCGCAGCGATGCGCCGTGGGCCTTGGTTGATTGCCTCGCACCGGGAATGCAAACATACAGCTCACGAGCTTTGGGGAAATAAAGCCCCAGGCTGGAGAGGGGGTCAGCTGGACAGCGCGTGCTAGTGTGAGCAGGGTCCTCGGTTCAGTCCCGGCACCGCATAACCTGGCCAATGGGCCAAAACCCTGTAGAGAGCAAGTGAAGAAAGAGCTGCAGGGGCTGATAAGATGGCTCAGTGGTCTAAAGCACCTACTCAGAACAAGCTTAGCAAAGCACAAGGACCGCGGTTCGATCCCCCAGCACCACATGCCAGCCAGCCCCGCCCCCTGGGGGGCAGAGCTGGCCACACACACACACACACACACACACACACACACACACACAAATAAAATAAAAAAGAGCTGCCGACGAAAAGGACAGAATAAGGAGAAAATCGTGCCGAAAGTGACGCCGTGTCTCAAACAAAGTAAAAGATCAAGATGGTCTCCTAACGAGGAAAACAAGAATAAATATGGGAGCGTAGCTGCAGGACCCCTTGAAACAGGGGTCCGGGCTGGATAGCAAAAGGCCTCTGTCACGAAGCAGCCGGGGAAGATCAGGTCCGGTTCCATTCTTTTCAGTTCTACTCCTTTGTCTCCTCTCTTTTCTTTCTTTTTGAGGGGGGCACACCGAGAAACTCAGAAAGCAAGCTCTGTGCCGCTCAGCTATATCCCTGGCAACTAACCCTAACCCTAACCCTTTTTAAGTCTTGGTTTCATAGCTCAAGCCGAGTCCTCATAATTTGGGTGACTTGGTCCCCATGGGATGAACCCTCATTGCCCAAAGAACAAACTAAGATAAACTGGAATCCAAAGACCCTAAATGATGCAGATTTCTCCTGTTGGTGTCCTCAATCCTGAGTGATGAGACAAACACTCCCTTAGTTATTATGAGTATTCTTAATGTATTTGGTTGTTGCAGGGTCTCACTACACAGCTGGGACTCATGGTAATCCTGCTTTCAGCCTCCGCAGGGCTGGGATTACAGGTACTCGCCACTACTTCCAGACTCTGTAGCCCACTCAGCCCACCCTGGGGGCGGGGCTGGCGCAGCAAGTAATGCTGGGAAACGTTGCCACAGTTCCTGCTCTTGGCTCAGCAGGTGCTTTAGTCAGCTGTGCTATCTCACCAGCCCCTATTTATTTTTATTTTTTATTTTATTTTATTTTTGCGGAACTGGGGATTGAACTCAGGCCCTTGCGCTTGGCAGGGAAGCACTTATTCCACGGTGCCATCTCCCCGGTCCCATTCCTATTTATTTTTAAATATTTATTTGGTGCCAAGTCTCACTTCGCTGCTGAGAGTGGTAGCGATTCTCCTGTCTCAGCCTCACCAGACCCAGGATTATAGGCATGCAACCACCACGCCTGGTTTCAGTGGCAGGCTTGGCACAGGGCTGACATAGCATGAGATACAGGGCGAATGAACCCTGGTACTTGTGCTTGCCAGGCAGGCACTTACACTGCCGAGCTATCTACTGGGCCCTTGTTTTGTTTTGTTTTGACAGATCTCACTATAAAGTTCAGGCTGGTCTTTGTATTTGTTATGTGACCCAGGAGGACCTCAAACTCGGTAGTCCTCCTGCCTCAGCCTCTCACAGGTGTGTACTACCACGCCTGGTTTTGTGCTATTTTATTTACCTGTTCAGCATCTGTGGTCCCAATCGTTTCAGCAAAAACTTTTACTTGGTGGGGAGGGGCATTTTTTGAGCCAGTATCTTGCTATGTAGTTCAAATTAGCCATGGGGCTGGGGAGATAGCTCAGTAGAATAAGTGCTTGCCCGGTAAGTGCAATGTCCTGAATTTAATCCTCAGTACCACAAAAAAAAAAAAAAAAAGCCTTGAGCGCATGATCCTCCTACCCCAGCCTCCAAATGCTGGGATTACAGTTGTGTCCCACCACACCTAGTTCCAGCAAAAACCAATTTTATGTCTCTACCTCAGAAAAAATCACAAACTGTGATTTTGATGAGTGACACATTGAGGGCTCGGGGTCTATCTGTCCTCTGTTCTGTGTCTGGGGTATGCCTCAGTCAACAATTTTTTGATTAACCAGAGGCAAGAGTGACAGAGGGTAGGTACCAAATATGCTTTTATTTATATTTTAGGGAAGGGTCTACAGGGTGTCACTACTAGATTGGACTCAGTGATCCGCCTGTTTACAGCCTCCCAAGAGCTGGGATTACAGGTGCATGCCAGCACACCCAGGTACGGTGTCAGCACTGCAGGGCCAGGGATCAAACCTCTAGCCCCTGCACCTGCTTGCAGGTGCTTCAATCTGCTGAGCTATCTGGCTGGCCCTTATATCTATCTTTGATAGGGTCTCCCTGTTGTAGTCTAGGCTGCCCTTCAAGGCGATCCTTCTGCCTCAACCTCCTTAGTGCAGTAATTAAAAGATGTATGCCACCACACTCAACTAAATACGCTTTTTGTTTTTTGAATATGCTTTTAAGAAATTGTGCTTGAAAGGCTAAAATAGCCTGTTGTCACTTATGGCTCTTTGTTCCTAAATTTTAGAAGTTCAATCACTTACAAAGTGCTCCTACAGCTTACTCATAAGCACTGTCCTAATTCTAGGGGGTAAACACGAGACACAGCTTCTGGCTACATGTGAAGGCATGAACATGTAGTCCGTCATTCTGGAGGACCAGGCAGGAGGATCACTTCAGCCTGAGCTTCATTAAGACCAGCTGTTCCCAGGCTGGCCTCCAACTGCCGTATTTCCTGCCTGAGCCTCCCTGATGATGGAGTTACAGATGTAACTTTTGTGTTCAGTACTGCAGATTGAACCCAGAGCCTTTCTACTGAGCCCCATCTCCAGCCTCCATTTATTTATTTTTTTTTGGCAGAACCAGGAAAAAAAAAATGGAAACTTAGAAGTCACTCACTGGAGAGAACAGGAAGGCTGGCTCCTTGCCTCTGCTAAACAGGCTATGTGGGTCTATTCTCCACTCACCCTGGCTCCCTTCACAGCCAACCCACTTCTGCATTTAACCACACATACACACAGAGATTGCAGCTCCTGAGGTATTTATCTCATTCACTCATTCATTCAACAGGGCCTCCCTATAGAGTTGAGGCTGGCCTTGAATTCCAGGCTATCCTCCTGCCTCAGCCTCCCGAGTGCTGGGATGACAGATGTGCCAACCATACATGGCCCTTAGGCTTTATTTTATTTTAGGGGGAACCGGGGATTGAACTTAAGCCCTTGCACTTGCCAGGGAAGCGCTTATTCCACTGAGCCATCTCCCTGACCCTCTTAGGCTTTATTACAAATGGAGTCAACTGCTCCTGAGTTCTCTCTGCAACCTTGCTTCTGTGCCCTCTTCCAACACACCCCTCTGAGAAGCAAGCTCCTTTAATCATTACAGAGAGGGAATCCAGGAGAGTGGAGGAGAAAATGAATGGTCTCTCCAAAGTCCTTGAAACCACCACCCAACCTTCTGCTGCAGGTGGACATGTTCTGCTAGAAGTGAAGAGTTCAGCTCTCATCCTCCAGGGCCTTCATGTCAACGTCTTGGGGAGCTTTCATCTTCTGTGGCTCGAGCTGTGGCTTACTAGTCCGGGCTGGCCTTGAGGGCGCTTCCACTGCACAGAGGAAAGAGGTGGCACTGAAGAACCCAGGACCCAAGGCTCAACAGCCTGGCGCTGTGGCCCTGCCTCACCTTCCATTGCTGCCTTCTCCTTCTGGGCCAGCCGAATCTGCTGCAAGAGCTTCCTGCGCTTCTTCCCCGACAGCGTGATGTTGGCCCGGGTACTGGACCTGAAAGGCAGAAGGAACAAACTCAAGCCTTGAGTGTCACCAAGTGCTCCTGGGTACTGCCGGAATCTCTGGCTCAGATCACTACAGCTGCACCAATGTGGGCCCTCCAGATGTGAGGTGGAATTTCTAAGACTTGGAACAGAAAGGCTTTTTAATTCAAAAGACTAAAAGTTAAAGTACTTAACGCTACCCGGAAAATAAGATTTCAGTGGCATAAGCAGCAAGGGTAAGGTCCTGATTTTGATCCCCGGTACAGCCCCAAAAAAACAGTACTTAACTTTGTTTTTGTGGTACTGAGGATTGAACTCAGGACCTTGTGCTTGCCAGGCAAGTGTTTATGCTGCTTAGCTATATCCCAGAACTTAACTTTAGACGTTAGAGTTTATTCGATAATAACACTACAAATGTTTATAAGAAGCCGGTGAAAAGATGGAAAAGTAATTGGAGGGCACACAGGCGCCTTGACACCTGAATGCAAAACCCTATGTTTAACCTTTGGGAAAATTCACCGGAGTACACACTTACGCGTGCGCTTTTCCGTATGAAAACACAAGTTTACTCATAAAACTACAAATAAAAGTGGTGTGGTGGTGAACCCCTGTGAGTCCCAGCACTGTAGGAGGCTGAAACAAGATCTCAAGTTTGCGCCCGGCCTTGGCATCCTGGCGACGTGGAGAGACCCTGTATCAGAATTAAACATAAACAGGGGCTCGCGGTACAACTCGGTGCGAAGGTTCGACCCTAACGCAGGGAAGAAGCCCAGCGCGCGAGCTGACCTGGTGTGTGTGGGACGCGCCGCCCGGATTCGACCCCGACTCACGCGCGCTTCCGCAGATGGTGCCGCGTGGTCAGCCCCGCGTCCGCCACGGCCCCGAGCACCCTGCGCCGCGCCCGCCGCGCCCGGCCCAGCACCCGCCGGCGCTTGAACAGCTTCCTTTTCAGCTCCTGCAGGGAGGGGGAGAGAGAGAGAGGGTGAGCGCCGCCGCCGCCGCCGCCGCCGGAAGCCTGTCCCCAGGCAGCCCCGTCACCGTGCGCGGCCGGTTGATCTTCCCGCCCGGAGGCGCCATGGCCGCTTCCGTTGCGCCCCGCCGCCGGCTGCGCTTCCGCCCGGGCCTGCGCAGTCCCGCCCCGCCGCCGGCTGCGCTTCCGCCCAGGCCTGCGAAGTCCCGCCCCCGGCCCCGCTGAACCAATCCCAGCCGGGGACGGTGACTATATAAGGCGGCCGCAGCGCCTGGCGGCCCTCGGAGCGCCGCGTGGAGAGGGTATGTTCTGCGTTCGTTCAGCTGGAGGGAGGCCGGGCGGAACTTCCGAGAGTGATCCTCCATTTCTTGGCGGGGAGCGGGCGTGCAGTCCCGTTCCCCGTAATGTACGGAGGCAGAAAAAGGGGCTCTCGCCCTCACGGCGTCATGTCTTCGGTGCTGGCGACGTCCCGTTCGCCGGTTCTATCCTCTAGCGCCGCGACAGGCCCTGCAGCGGGACCCAGGGAGCGGGTGCTCACATCTTCTTTGGTTTCAGGTCCGCGGACGCCGGCCTGGGAGCTGGATTTACTGAATTTTCCTTCATGTGACCTTGGCAACCAGTAAAGACTGCTGGTGCTGGAGCCTGGGTCTGCGTTTTTATTTCCGAGGCCGCGATACTGCACGCGCTTCGCCACGGCGCGGAGTCTGCAGACCTTCCCGGACGTTAGATCCTCTCCGTGCTGCGACCGCAGAGCTTTCTGATGGCTGTGCTGCGCCGGCTGCTGCGGGTGCCACCCCTACAGGCCTGGGCGAGTGCCTCAGAGGGTAGGGAGGGTGCGCGGGCAGGCGGGCAGGCTCCTCACCATCTCGGGACCTTAATCCTCTGAAGCCTTTGCCACTTGGAAACAACCCGAGGGCCAGGGAAGATAGCTCAGCGGTCAAGCTGAAGAGCCCAGGTTCGATCCCCAGTACCACATTCCGTTGTACCCTGAAACCAGCCTTGGTGGTGCATGCCTGTAATCCCAGCGCCAGGGAGCCTGAGCTGTTAGTGAGACCTTGTACTAAATATTTTTTATGCATCTATTTATTTATTTATTTATTTTGCAGAACCAGGGTTTGAACTCAGACCTTTGCACTTGCTGGGCAAGTGCTTATTCTACTGAGCTATCTACCCGGTCCTTTAAATAACATTTTCTTTAAAGGGCTGGCAAGGTAGCTCAGCAGATTAAGAGCTTGCTTAGGTAAGCTCAGGGTCACCGCATGCCATACTGTCCCTGCCCCCCCAGCACGCTGTGGCGGCACATGCCTATAATCCCAGCAATAGAGAGGTAGAAAACAGCATCACTAGAGACCAGGCTGCATAGTGAGACCTTGCACAAAAGTAAAACCCTAAAGGGCCAGGGATATAGATCAGCAGCAAAGTGCCAGCCTGGCAAATGCAAGGTCCTGAGTTCAGGCTCAGTACTGGGGGAAAAAAAGTGCACCAGTGACATCCCATGCCCAGTCTCAGTCGCTGTCTTAGAGGGACCAGCACAGCTCGCTGAGGGTCAAGGGGATCAAGCCCCACTCCCTGAGAGTAAGCAACACTTCAATCTGCTGACCTATCTGGCTGGACCTATGCCTGGTGACATATTCTCCACCCCACAGGCTCTTTGGCCACTAGCTGCCTGGCAGACCGCTGTCTCTGGGACCGAGTACATGCCCAGCAACGTCCAAGCAATGTCCCCACGTTCGACTGGTTCTTCGGATATGAGGAAGTCCAGGGATTCCTCCTTCCACTCCTGCAGGAGAGCAGGTTTGCCTGTCTACCTAGAGTGCTAGATGTGGGTTGTGGGACCTCAGGACTGTGTGTGGGCCTCTACACCCAATCTCCACATCCGGTCGATGTACTAGGTGTGGACTTCTCTCCTGTGGCAGTGGCACACATGAACAGCCTGCTGGAGGGTGGCCAAGGCCAGATGCCCCTGTCACCAGGACACCCCAAGTCCCACCTCTGCTTTAGGCAAGCCAACGCCTTGAACCTGGTACGTGTAGCTCCCTCTGGCTCCTTCCAGCTCCTGCTGGACAAAGGCACCTGGGATGCAGTGGCCCGAGGTGGGCCACCTGGGGCTCACCAGATGCTGTTGGAATGCCTCAGGGTCCTGAGCCCCCAGGGAACGCTCGTGCAGTTCTCAGATGAGGACCCAGATGTGAGGCTGCCCTACCTGGAGCAAACGTGCCAGGGCCGAACTGTGACTGTGCAGCAGTTGGGACCTTTTGGGGGCATCACCTATTTTGCTTATTTGGTTAAAGACATTCATTAAAGATACCTTAGTCCTGACTCATGTTTTCTTTTTTTTCTTTTTTTTTTAATAAATCTCGTCCTTTATTTTATTTTTTTACTTTCATTTTTATT